CTCCCCCCGTTGAGAGGGTACTGATCAACCATAAATTTTTCTTTATGGATCTATAACGAGTATGACGAATTATTTGTGAGCGCTATGTATCAACGTAATGATCGAACATTGAATTTACGCATTTGTCGCATTACAATATGAATATGGTGTTACAATGTTATCGCCGCCGCAATGGTAAGCAGAACAAGAACGTGTTATTGTTCGATTGGGAGAGGACAAAGGCATTTTGTAGTTCGCCTTATCTCTCCTTTCGTGGTCTTGATATCGGCTGATCTTGCTATGCCGTCTTCACCTGGATATAATTTCGTGATGCGGCCCAACGCCCACTGCGTGCAAGGAAGACCTTTATCCTTGATGAGGACGACTGCTCCGATCTTTATTTCCGGACCATTTGTGACCCATTTGGCACGACGTTGGAGTTCGTTGAGGTACTCCAAATTCCATCGAGCCCAAAAGTCCTGTCGCACCTTTGATATGTGTTGTCAGGCGGACAGCCTATTGACTGAAACAGCTTGTAGGTCGCCCTCAGGAAGGGAGGTGATTGATTTGCCGATTAAGTAATGGGCAGGCGTTAATACCAGCATGTCGTTCGGATCGGAAGTAATAGATGTTATCGGTCTTGAATTTAATATGCCTTCAATTTCGATAGCAAACGTGTTCAATTCTTCGAACGTGAATAGAGTGTCGCCCACTACGCGTTTGAGATGATGATTAAATATTTTTACCGTCGACTCCCATAACCCTCCGAAGTGCGGAGCTATAGGCGGTATAAAATGCCAGGAAATGCGCAATTCGTTCGCGTACTTATCCACGCGTTTCATGTGTTCGTTAGAATTGAACAAAGCATAAAGATCTTTTAGTTGATTGTTGGCACCGATGAAATTAGTTCCGTTGTCGGAATAAATGTGTTCGGGAACACCGCGTCTCGCAACAAAGCGTCGTAACGCTGCGAGAAATCCGTCCGAGGATAGATCACTCACTATCTCAAGATGTACTGCCTTTATGCACATACAGACGAATACGCATACGTACACTTTAACCCGATTCCGGTTTCGATGTTTCTTTTCTTTGATATAAAATGGTCCGCAAAAATCAATGCCGGTGTGATTGAACGGTGTGGCTTCGCGTACGCGGTTAGGTGGAAGATCCCCCATTTTGTATTCGACTGTTGTCGGATCGAATCGCGTGCAACGTATGCATTTGCGTATGACCTTGCGCACTTGATTTTTGCCGTCAAGTAACCAAAATTTTTGCCTAATTATGTATAATGTAGTTTGAATTCCCGTATGATAATGTCTTTCGTGTGTTTCGCGTATAATCTGATCGGTAAGATGATGCCGACTCGGAATCAGTACTGGGTGTTTTTGCGCGAATGTTAAGTTTGACGATCTGAGACGTCCTCCGACGCGAATCAAACCGTCTTCGTCTAAGAAGGGATCCAGATTCGCGATCTTGCCCTTGTTAATAGGCCGCTTGTTTTTTAATTTTTCGAGCTCGACGGCGAATTGAACCCCTTGATAGATTTTTAATACCCGTACTTCGGCTTCACGTATTTCCTTCGCGCTCAATGACCCGCTATATTTGTTCGACCTTCGCAGTCGGAGACAATAAGCTACGATTTTGCATAGTTTAGTATAAGACGAATACCTTTCGAGTATGCTAGTGTCATTAAACATCGTCGTTAAACAAGTATTTCCCTTTACTTCTAATACTTCGGTGGTTTGTGGAATTTCGTTAGGCCAACTATCCTCGGTTTTAGTTAACCACGAAGGTCCTGCCCGCCACAGCTCGTTTTGTATGAATGAGTGGGGTAATTGTCCCCTCGAGATTGCATCGGCTGGATTATCCTCAGATCTTATATGACGCCATTCGATTGAGTTAGTATTTTCTTGTATTTCCGCAACCCGATTCGCGACGTAAGTTTTGAGTAAGTATGGGGGCATTTTCAGCCAGTGCAACACGATAGTCGAGTCGCACCAAAAGATAGTCCGGTTAAGCGAGAAATTCAATGTCCTGACTGTTTCGCTATATAATCGCGCTAAAAGTAACGCGCCGCATAATTCTAGCCGCGGGATAGTGACCGTTTTGAGTGGAGCTACTCGTGACTTGGCGCACACTAATCTACTTATCACCTTTTTATTGTCTCCCACAGATCGAAGGTACAAACATGCTCCGTAGCCTGTATTGCTAGCATCACAAAATCCATGTAATTGGATGTTATGATGTTTCTCTACCGTAATTTTACGATCGAAAGTGACCTGATTGAGGGCTTCCAATTGTCGAACGAATTCTGTCCATTCTGTGTAAGTGGACTGTGGGATAGATTCGTCCCATTGCACCTTGCTTTTCCACACTTCTTGTATTAGACGTTTCGCATATAAAACTACGGGACCTAAAAGACCTATGGGATCGTAAATTTTCGCGATTTCCGATAAGATTTTTCTCTTTGTTATCGTTTCTGATATTTTAATTGGATTGGTTGAATAACGTATTTTGTCGTTAATGGTGTTCCACGAGATGCCTAATGTTTTTAGAGATCGATCGTCTGTCAATATGTAATTAGCGTGTAACACATGATTGGGTAAATCATCGACAACGCGTGCGTCGTTTGAGGCCCATTGTCTAATGTGGAAACCGCCGCGTGCTAGTAAAGAGATTATTTCATCTCTTAGGTCTCGAACTTGATGGATAGACTCGCCGCCGGTCAACAGATCGTCTACATATAAATCGTCTTTGAGGACCTTAGCTGCATTAGGATATGCGCGACCCTCATCTTCCGCTAGTTTTTGGAGAGTACGGATCGCTAGAAACGGTGACGACGAGACGCCAAATGTGAGCGTGTTTAGTTGATACGTCTTTACTTTACCGTCTTCGCGCCACAGTATTTGCTGAAATCGACGGTCGTCTTCGTGTAACAGCACCTGTCGATACATTTTCTCTATATCCGCGGTGATTACGTAGTTGTATGTGCGAAATCGGATTAAATGCGAGAAGAGTTTATCCTGTATCGTGGGCCCTATCAGTAGGATGTCGTTTAACGACACACCGCTTGTAGATTTTGCTGACGCATCAAACACGATACGAACCTTAGTAGTGTTACTCGATTCCTTGATAACGGCGTGGTGCGGCATGTAAAATCCGTCATCGCCGGGAGAATTCACTAACGACATGTGACCTAATCTTTCGTATTCTTCGATAGTCCGCGTGTATTCAGTTTTTAAAGACGGATTTCGATCTAATTTATGCATTAATGCGGATAGGCGTTTAAGCGCGACGGACCTCGATTCGCCTATATAGACGTTGGGATCGCGAAATGGTAAACGAACTACGTAACGTCCGTCGTGGTTGCGTGAAACGTTTTTCACGAAGTGTGCTTCGCATTTGATATCTTCTTCCGATTTCGCTCTGTCGACCGCAACTTCCTCGATTGTCCAAAATTTTGTTATTTGTGTTTCTAGATCTATTAAGTACGACGACGCGGTTTTCGCCGGAATCCGAGACGAAACACCGCCGGCAATAATCCATCCCAAACGTGTTTTTTGTAAATACAGGTCTTGCTTATGGCATGACAAATTAATCTGACCGACGGAGAACAGCGACAGCGTGGCACCGGAACCGATTAACAAATCGACAGGGCGTGGTAGATGGAATTCTGGATCCGCGAGTTTTATGTTCGGGGGTATTCCAATCGAGTCTCGCGGAAAAATCTCAGACGGAATCAAGTCGGCAATGATTGGCAAAGTTAAGCATGTCAAGTTCTTCTGAAAACCGTCGCGAATTGATCGAATAGTGATTTGAACTATGCCCTTAGATGTAGAATGCATGGTATCGATTGTGCTAACCGGTATCGATTGCGGAATCGTGTTTATGCCTAATCGTTTTACAACAGATTCAGAAATAAAGTTGGCGGTGGCACACGTGTCCAGGAGAGCGCGGCATCTCACGAGATTACGTTGATTGTCGTAGATATGTATTAATGCACTCGTTAATAACTGTGGCGTAAATTTAGGTGTTACAGTCGCGAGACTCGTCACGGTTCCCCCGGACGCGCCGGCTAGTCAATCGGTTTTAACGGCTTCGGAATGAGAGGTATCAGGTTTAACAACAGGCGTATACTTGTCATCGTGTATGAGCGTATTATGACGTTTTTTGCAAATAGTACAATTGGAAAATTTGCACTGAACTCCCCGATGGGACCGTAAACAATTGTAGCAGAGTTTCGCGTTTTTTACCGTTTCAATGCGTTTCGAAACAGGCCACTGCTTGAACGTCTCACACAAATAGAGCGGATGACGCTTAACAGTGCACGCTACGCATTTTTGTCCCGTGCTCGATATGAACGCTTGGTTTGGAGGCTGAATACGCCTTTTCTTGGCCGGAATCTCCCCCTTGTACCTCTCAGTATCCGTCGCCTTCGTTCTTTCCCTTTTTGACGCACAAACCGCGGTCTTGTATAAAAATTCGTATAGTTGTTCGAGGGAGGGAAGTTCATCTCTATCGAGAAATGCTTCCCACCTTTCCTGGGTAACCCTTGGCAATTTATTTTCAAGGATATGTACTATCATTTCGGGCCCGACCGTAGTTCCTAACGCGTTTAACGACGCGAGATGTTGTTGCGTATCATCGGCTAATTTGGATAAACCGTCCGTGGTTTCCCTTTCTAACGTAGGTAAGTTCAAAATCAATAAAAGATGACGCGAGATCAATATCCGCTTTACTTCGTACGCTTTCTCTAATAACTCCCAGGCTCGAGAATAGTTAATTCCATCGACCGAGAAAATTCTCAATTTATTCGCGGCCTCGCCTTTCAACGCTGCCCTCAAATAGTGGAACTTGTCTATGTCTGTTAAATCCGACTGCGCGTCTATCAGATTGCGAAAGGCATTTTTAAACGATAGCCAATTTTCATATTTGCCGTCAAACGTAGGCAACGGCGCTTCCGGTAGCTTAATTCGTCGGCCTTTGTTAGTTGTTACGGATGCTGATTCCCTGATCTGAACCTCGTTACTCGACGTGCTTGCCATCGATGAATTTACCGGGTTTAAGATGTTCTCGACTCTAGCCGCGAGTGCGTAGAATCGCTCTTGGACATTAGTGAACTCGTCCTCGTGCGCGTCGTTGGGATCTAAGACCGCGAGTTCGTCGTTGGTTTCTTCGAATGCGCGGTACAATTCTGTGAGACGCGTCATACGCAATTTTAATGCGGTATTATCCAAACCTTCTTTGTCGAGAAGATTGGTTAAATGAGTAATCTGTGACTTTAACGACGTCCGTTTTTGAATAAACAATTTGATTTTATTGGACATCGCGATGGTTTGCCTTAAATTTAGACCGAACGACACACTGGTTTAGTAGAAGTTATAAATACCGCCCTATGGTATGTTGTTTGTGGGTTCGCGTTCGAAAGTGTGGCTGCTATCGTCGTTCCCTCGCTTGGTTACTGGTCGCTTCGATCCTTCTCGCGTCAGGGACTGCGAACCTCACAGGAGGCACCAAAA